TTTATCAAATTTATGATTAGCTAATTGTTAAATATAATAAAGAAAAAAACTTTCTTATACAACTGATATTGCACTTCTGGTAAAAATATTCTCAACTGAAATCAGGATTATAAAAATCATTATACATTACACATGTATACATTACATGTTGAATTACACTAACAGGAAAACGGCAATAGCTGATTAAATTTAAATAAACTAAATCATGCTGGGACTTTGTGATGTATAAAATGAATTTTCTGTTAAGGATAACTTACTGTACATTCTAATAGGAGGAAATAAATGTTTACTAAGCTTAAAAGTGGCAAATAATTTTTCCCATAAAGAATGTTCCCTTGCTTGGGAACCAGCAGTTAGCATAATGGCTATGTCGCTGGACTCCCACGTAGTCGACCGCGGTTCGCGTCCCGGACCCGGTGGCTTAAAACTCATGCCGGGCACGTGTGCGTGCATGCCCAAGATCCTGAGAGGAGAATGGAGGAGAAGGGATTGCGGCGTGACCATCCCCTCTGGGGGGTGATTTCTCGATTTCTCGCTTTCTGTCTCTATGTCTCTCTCTGTCTGTTTGGTGAGCGCACGCGCCCTACAGTGAAAACCTGTCAAAAAAATAAATAAATAAAATAAAAAAAAGAAAAAGAATGTTCCCTTGCTTGAAAACATGATTTTCTTACAAATAATTGATTGTGTATATGTTACAGATAATCATATGGCCAACTTACTCAATGAAGATTATCACCTGTTGTACCCAAAGTCAAAACAGGTTTTATGTTAACAATTTAGATAACTAATGATGTAATAGTTTACATAATTTACGGTGTAACTCATCAGAACATAGCTCATGCAACAGTAAATCCGTATGAATGTGAGGCATACTCAGAATGTCCAGACTCCTCAGTCAGCATATAAGCCCCCCTACCAGACCACTAAGAACAATGACTCCCTGCATCTCTCTGGAGTGTGCTAAACCTATCACGGACCACCACATGCTGACCAAAGTGGGGTTACTACCTCCAGTAGAGATCAGAGCAAAAGCTTCCATGAGTGAAGACCATTTGAGCAGTGAGAGACCAGCCAATTTCTACAATGTAGCATATGCCTTCAATCCTCATCCTTTCTTGCTTGGAGTCACTACTTAACCTGCTGAAGAAAGTTAAATATAAGCTGTTTAAACTAAGGAGCTAATGTCCATTTGTTTATTTTTTTGGTACTAACTACTTTTCAAAACCATGAATCTGTATCTCTGTTTTAACCTTGAATTATGGCTCCCCCGAATAAGACAGAACTTTCTAATAGTATGTCTTAAATTACCAGATCTTAACGAGAGATATGTATAAATTAACTTTGCCTTTAAGAAAGATTTTTTTAGCTCATTAATACAAGGAATTAATTATGATTGAAAATCAAAAGAGAAGATACAGTTGTGAGAAAAGAGAATTCTATGGAAAACATCTGTCCAAAAAAAAAATTAGGTCAACCTTCTCCAAAGGTAAACACCTTTGGTAAAGGAATTTCCCTTTTCCTGAAATTTGGCTCCTTTAGACCAGAGAGTAACAACCTTTTCCTGTATAGAGGTAGGTAATATTGTAGGCTTCAGGGGCCACATGGTCTCTATCATAGATGATAAATAAATGAATGA